CTGACTCTGACTCAAGTTATTCAAGTGAAGCCGATGTCGAAGGTATATTCGGTAATTTATGTGATTTTAATAAAGAAAAAAAATTGGGAAAACTTGACTTAATGACGGAAGATGATATGAGAAACAACGGTCATGAAATCGATGATTGGTTTTATGTTTCTGCTAATAAAGAATTATCTGAAGATTTGATTAGAGAATTTAGATTAAAAGTTGATTGGGAATGTGTATCATTCCGTCAAAAATTATCTGAAGAATTTATTAGAGAGTTTCACCATGTACTCGATTGGAGTGCAATATCACAATATCAAAAATTATCTGAAGATTTTATAAAAGATTTTGCCAATAAAGTTGATTGGAGTGCAATATCACAATATCAAAAATTATCTGAAGATTTTATCAGAGAAAACAAACACAAACTAAATTTATTCATTATATTATGCTATCAAAAATTATCACAACATTTTATACAAGAATTACAAAAAGATCTAGACCAACTTATTTCGAGCGAAGGCAAACAACAAATATTTTCAGGTTTTATTACTTTAGGTACACTTTATAATTTAAAGAGATATGAAAAAATATTTAATCAAAAAGTTAGTCACAATGATGAAATAGAAATTAAATTTAATTATCCAATGAAAGAAGGAGTTATTTTTAAATTTAAAAATTGTTTCAAAGATCCTATTAGATATCTCGATCTATTTTACTTTATCCGTAAAGGATATATGAGAATATATAAGGAAGAAGAGGAAAAAGCTACAGAAGTAAAACCTTTTCCTAGTCCTTATCTTAGACCTGAAACAAATGGTCCATATGGTATTTATGCACATGATTGGAAAACTTTATCGATTGAAGGAATTTATAAACATGGAGATGTTTTTACTCTTCTAATGGGATCTTAACTAATTACATCTTAATGTATCATTATTATCTTATTTTATTTATTTTTACATGCTGTAATAACATTCTGACGATTGGACGAAACAGTATTCATATGTGCGCTGAAATAGCCCCCAATAGAAAAACCGAGCAAATTCTTTAAAAAATGTTAATTTTAAAATATATCTTAAAAACGGGAGTCTTCACGATTTTTCTGCTTTTCTGTTAACCCTTGAAAATCGGGGTGTTTTCCTTAAAAAGTAGCTGTGTTCTCAAGGGGCCTTATTAGTACAAAATTCTAAACAGTGTAAAATCTTTGAAATCAAGGTAAAATTCCTAATTTTAAATGTTTTTAAAAGGGAAATTTGTTTGGACCAAACCGTATTCTTGTTTGAAAAAACGGTGTATTTTCCTTGAAATGGTGACTTTTTTGAAAAGGGTACGTTTGGAAAAACCTTTCAAATTCTTTAAAAATTTTAACTTTTCAAAAGTTATCTTGAAAACCAGGCTGAAATCATTAAAAATGTGTTGTGTTCTGAAGGGGCCGTGTTAGTAGTTATTGAAATACTCGATATAAATATTTTGGAATTTTGAATCTTTCGGGCCTGTGATGTTTAATTTTTGAAAGAATTTGAAAGAATCTTGGGGCCTCTTGGTGTCTTGATTTTTACAGATTTTGGAATCTCGGGCATCTCTGGTGTCATACTCTTAATTAAAATAATTTGAAAGAATCTCTAGAGCCTCTTGTGTTTTAATTTTTACAGAATCTGAAAGACACGAGAATCCCTGGTGTCTTGTTTTTGAAAAATTTGAAAAGACTCGAGGACATCTAGAGTTTTAAGTTTGAAATAATTTGAAAGAATCTCGAATGCCTCTTTTGCCTTATTTTTACAAGAATGGGAAAGAATCGCGGGTACCTCTAGTGTCCTGTTTTTGAAAGAATCTGAAAGAATCTCGGAAATGTCAGGAATCATGTTTCTGGTAGAGTTTGAAAGAATCTCGGAAGCTTCAGACGTCTTATTTTTGATACAGTTTGAAAGAATCACGAGGACTCATGGTGTCTTATTTTTGAAAGAATTTGAAAGAATCTCGGGCACTCTTTGTGTCTTATATTTGAAAGAATTTGGAAGAATCTGAAGGGCCCTTTGTACCTTGTTTTTGAATAAATTTGAAAGCATCTGTAGAATCCCTGGTGTTGTGTTTTTGAAAGAACTTGATTTGTAAAAATCTTGAGAAGTTCTTGTATGTTATTTTTGAAAGAATCTGAAAGAATTTCAGATACCATCGGAGTCTTGTTTTTGAAAAAAATTGAAAAGAATCCCGAGAACTTGTGCTTTATTTTTGCCAGAATTTGAAACAATTTCAGAGAGCATTTATGTCTTATTTTTTATACAATTTGAAAGAATCTCGAGGACCTCTGGGATCTTAATTTTGAAATAATTTAAAAGAATCTCGAATGCCTCTTTTGCCTTATTTTTCCAAGAATGGGAAAGAATCGCGGGTACCTTTAGTATCCTGTTTTTGAAAGAATCTGAAAGAATCTCGGAAATGTCAGGAATCATGTTTCTGGTAGAGTTTGAAAGAATCTCGGAAGCTTCAGACGTCTTATTTTTAATACAGTTTGAAAGAATCACGAGGACTCTTGGTGTCTTATTTTTGAAAGAATTTGAAAGAATCTCGGGCACTCTTTGTGTCTTATATTTGAAAGAATTTTGAAGAATCTGAAGGGGTCTTTGTGCCTTATTTTTGAATAAATTTGAAAACATCTGTAGAATCCCTGGTGTTGTGTTTTTGAAAGAACTTGATTTGTAAAAATCTTGAGAAGTTCTTGTATGTTATTTTTGAAAGAATCTGAAAAAATTTCAGATACCACCTGAGTCTTGTTTTTGAAAAAAAGAAAAATGAAAAGAATCGCGAGAACTTGTGCTTTATTTTTGATAGAATCTTGGGCACTCTGTCTTGTATTTGAAAGAATTTTGAAGAAACTCGGAGGCTCCTTTTGTCTTATTTTTTAAAGAATTTAAGAGTATCTTTAGCATTCCTGGTGTGTTTTTGAAAGAACTTGATTTGAAAAAATTCCGACAATTTCTTGTACCTTATTTTTGAAAGAATTGGAAAGAATTTCGGATACAATTGGTGTGTTTTTTTTGGAAAGAATTTGGAGGAGTTTCGGAGGCTTTGGGCGTTTAGGACATTTGGAAGAATCGCGGGGGCCTCTGGTGTATCATCTTTGATAGAATTAGAAAGGATTTCGAGAACTCCTGGCCTTGTGTTTTTGAAAAAATCTCGACAGATCCTTGTGTGTTGTTTTTGAAAGTATTTGAAAGTATCTCGAGCACCCCTGGGATGATATTTTTATAGAATTTGATTTGAAAGAATCTCAAGGACTTTTTGTTTTATTTTGAAAGAATTTGAAAGAATCTCAGCTCCCTCTAGTGTCTTGCTTTTGAAAGAATTTGTGAGAATTGCGGAGACGTCAGAAATAATGTTTTTAATAGAATTTGAAAGAATCTCGGGAGTTTCTAGCGTCTTACCATTGACATAATTCAAAAGGAAGTTGAGGACTTCTAGTGTGTTATTATTTAAAGAATTTGAAAGAATCTCGTGCACCGCTGGAGTCTTGTTTTTTGAAAAAATATAAAAGACTCTCAAGGACCTGTTACTTTTGAGAGAATTTGAAATAATTTGAGACCCTGGGAATCTCGTTGTTTTTTTAATTTGAAAGAATCTTGGGGCTTCTGATATCTTTTCTTTGACAGAATTTGAAGGGATCTCGACGAATTATTGTTTAAAGAATCCTTGTGTGTCATTTTTCAAAGAATTTGAAAGTATCTCGAACACCTCTGGGGTGTTATTTGTGAAAAATTTGATTTGAAAGAACTTCGAGGATATCTTGTGTCTTATTTTTCAAAGGATTTGAATGTATCTCAGAGAGTACCGCTCGAGTTTTGTTTTTGAAAAAAATTACAAAGAATTTTGAGGATTCTTTGTACGTTATTTTTCACATAGTTTGAAAGACTCTCGAGGACCCCTGGTGTTTTGTTTTTGAAAGGATCTCGAAGATCACTGGTGTCTAAATTTTGAGAGAATTTGAACGAACCTCGGGAACCTACCTCTAATGTTTTGTTGTTGCATAAATTTGAAAGAATCTCGAAGACGCCAGGAATTATATTTTTGATAGAATTTGAAAGAATCTTGGGGATCTTTGGTGTCACTCTTTTCATTTTCAAAAAATTTGATAGAATCTCGGGTACCGCTGGGGTCTTGTCTTTCAAAGAATTTAAAAGAATTTTGAGGACTCTTTGTGTCTTATTTTTGACAGAATTTGAAGAAATCTTCAACACCCCTGGTGTTATGTTTGTGAAAAATTTGGAAGGATCTCGAAGACCTGTGGTGTCTAAATTTTGAGAGAATTTGAAAGAATCTTGGAGATGGAATTTTGTTTTTGACAGAATTTGAAAGAATCTCGAGGGCATTTTATTTTTGACAAAATTTGAAAGCGTGTCTACTCGGATACCTGGTGGCTTATTTTTGAAAGAATCTTGGGTGCCACTTGAAAAAATTTGAAAGAATCTCGAGGACCCCTTATGACTTGTATTTGACAGAATTTGATGTGTTTGAGAGAATTTAAAATCACGGGGATTTTTGGTGTCTTACCACATACTACACAGATAAGACAGTGTCTCACCACTAACAAACGAATATAGTCTTTAATTCAAGAGTCCAAATAGTCGATTTCAATTATTTTGCCCTTGAACACAGGAAAATGACGGTTGAGGTAGAAATGACCTTGATTCAGATTGTTGGAATGTGTCAACAGTATCGATTTGGGACATGCTTGGCATGTCTTCAATTTTTGTTAACATAGTGGCTAAATCATCTTCACAATTTGCTGCAGAGCTATGCTGCATATATTTCATTGCAAATAGTTTTTTGAAAGCTCTTTTGAATTGTATTGGCGTGGGATTGTAACAATTACTGTTACTTTTGGATGGAAATATAACAATTTTTATTGTCGTTAAATATAAAAATCATATTTTAAATTTTTGTATCTGTTTTCAATTTTTGTAATAGAAAAAAATGGTATTATAGTGATACTTTATCTACTTAGTACTATTTACCTGTAGAGAATTTTGTAGGTTTGGCGTCAAATTGTAGTCTATTTTTTTGCGGATTTGAAAACATTTTCTCTTCGAAATGAGCGGCACAAATTCTGTAATTTGTATAACTCTTGCTAGGTTTGTTGATTATATCTCCCCTAGTACACAGTAGAGCCCACATTTTAAATCTGGAAAGTATAAAACTTACAGTGTGATGTGTAAAATTAAGACCTGTGTAATGCACTTTAGTAACTACTCAAAAAATATCAGGTAAATAAATACTTTTTGTAGTGCGTATTATTAAAATGTATATTTTAAAATTTTATATTGGTTGTCAAAATACAGTTCTTTATTACATTAAAATGTTGTTGGTAATAATAATTTCATATACTTATCTTAGATCATATAATAAATAGATACCACCATGCCGTGTTCTTTCCCTAGGCGAGCCTGTGACGACATCCTCCTGTCACACATCTCTCTCGTGCATGGAGGAATTACAATGAAGCTATCCTTGCCTGATCACTATTTGAATTTTGCGCGCCTAAATTTTAGGATGTCTGAACTAACTTCGTACGAAAGATGTTGACAGCTTGATTTTATAAATAATTCACAGTAGATAACGAAAGGAATAGTAAATTATTGGGCAGAAATTGTGATCCTTTGTGATTACGTCACTTAAAATAGGATCTTGGTTCTAAATTCTAAAATTGTTTTTTGTACAACAACTCGAAAGAGAGGTTAGAAGAAACATCTGTTAAAAGCGATTTGTTGCGCTGGTGCGGTACAAGGATGGAAGTGAAATAGACATATACAGGTGAAATGCATATAACAAAGATGAAGATGTGGTGATCACACAAGGATAGCATTATACTACTCCCCTGGACGTAGAAAACGACAACAGATAGCTTCATGTCTAGTCACAGCTTTCAGTTTGAGTATTGGTATCTATTTATTATATGATCTAAGATACTTATATGTGTATTGTATAATTTATGTATCCACTGCTTACTTACCTCTCAGGTTCTTTTGGAAATCTAAAAAAGCTGTACTGACAGTTGCTTGAAGTATTTCTGCAGTAGAATGCACTACAGTAGATTGCTTTTTTTCTTTCCATATTGTTGATAACTGATTGGCCACTACACGTGAAAATAGCACTATTCTTTATTAATAACTAAAACAAGTATGCTAGACACTAAATTATAAATTCAAAGGCCAAGAAAATTTGTTTTATCAACTTTGCTTGCAACGTTGTCGAAACATACTAACGTACCGCATGCAAGTTAGTTTTAACAGAGCGTCATAGTTTAAATCAAATGACGGTTGAGGACTCCTCAATTTATGTTGGTAGCATTGTTTGTTTCTAACTAGGAATAAAAGTAACTAGAAAAATGTCATAATATTTTTAACCACGCGTTTTATTTTCGACAAATTGACACTAGAGTTACCAGAATATTACAAACTGCTTACTGTTACGATTATAGTGAAACAAGGATTTTATTGGCATCGACGATTTAAATTTGGCGCTTGCCTTTGGCGGTTGAGGACTCCAGCACAGACTACACAGACAAGACACTGTCCCACCACTAACAAACGAAGATAGTCTTCAATTCAAGAATCCAAACAGTCGATTTCATTTTGCCCTTGAACACAGGAAAATGACGGTTGAGGCACAGCATATCATTCAGTAAGGACAGCTTTTGAAAGGCCCATAAGAAATACACGTAACGGACTAGAACAACAATAATCGACCGTTGGGTAAGGACATGACCTTGAATTTTGGCTAGAAACTGTAGTGGCAAACCTTGTTACTAAATAAAATTTACCACCATGTCAACATTGTGCGTCAAATTTGACATTTTAGATGTTTTGTATTTAATATTGTAACGGTGATTTATTATTTTTACTGAATAGAAAATGCGCGTTCGAACAAATAAATAAAATAAATAATATTGTGGAAACTGTACACAGGGCACAGGGGTGCGGTATGCTGGTATGGACACAGTTACGAGGGCAGCTTTTATATATCGGCCACATGAAGGTAAAATTGAGTTGGTAGAAAATAGTGAAACAAATCGTTTTTCTAGGGCTGCAACATAAAAGGTGAATGCTTCATGTAGCATCTTAAGCGCGCCACTCACGTTTCAACGCCGCAGAACAATTGTGTTTGATATGACCAAATTGAAGTGTTTTTGAACGTCTGTGTATGCAAATCGGTTGGATGTGGACGGTCGGTGAACAAGTCTGTCTGCAGCAGTACAATCGTGTTGTATTGGATGGAAATTTGATGATGTGTGGACATGACTCGACAGTGTATGTTATTCAAATCGTGAGAGCAGCTATAAAAGTATATTTTCGTCATTTTGTCGGACATGTTGTCATCACGATCGCAAATTTTTAACTGCAAGGTCGTAACGTGTGTGTGTACTGCTGTTTTTTAACAGAATTGTACAACAGTTGCATCCAATGGGACGTTGGAGTGTGAATGGCCAGCTTTAGGATTGCCAAAATGGTGGATCATCATCAAAGACGTTGAAGTGACAGAGAAGTTTATCATATATGATGACATTACGTGCAACGGCAAAATAACTACATGTTTCACAGGTATATTTCATCAAGCATTTCTTCAGTAAGTATCCACAGACATAACTTAAAGAATTTTGTTCCTCCATGTCCAGATGTCTGTAGTCTGTCATATTTACTTCCACAGATTTATGTGCAAAAGTTGTTCAACTTAAAACTCTATTAATAATTTGACACTGGTTACTTTCTTTAGATTCAGTTGCTAGTAAAATAGATCCTAAATCATTACAACTATTGGAATTTTCACTGTGCTGTAAAAATTGCATATAGTCTGTATGCTGATAGATTGACTGACAGAAAAGTTACTAGAAATTAAGGAGCGCGCGAAAATTTAAAAATTTAATTTTTTTATTTAAAATTTTGCGCACTACTATATTTTAATAAAGCAATGAATTTTGAAGAAACTTTACAGCATTCTAAATAAAGTATGTTTAATCTCTTATAATTCGAGATATCTTATTATTAAGGTCTTAATTTTTAATTTAAATTGCTATACAAGAACTTTGTTAATAGAACTTTATTTCTTCATATATCATTTTCAGCAAAATTAAAATCGCTATCACTCTCATCTGTCTCTACGTTTAAATTTATTATAATATTATTTACTTTTACAATCTTTACTGTGTCCCAATAGGTTTTAATAATATTTTCTGTATGTTTAACATAGCTTTTCCATTGTTCCGGTGTTACATTTTGTAGGGCTCGGTTCCAGGCATCAAGTGGGTTTTTAGATTTTAAAACGTCTTTGTCGTAGAAACGTTTTGTTTGACTCCATACCATCTCTATGGGATTAAATATACAATGGTATGGAGGAAAACGTAAAACATCATGACCAGCTGCAGTAATAATATTGTCTACTACATACACTGGATTTTTATAATGAGCTTTACATAGCTTTACAGTTCTTTTGCAGCCACAATTGAAGATCAACTTTTTTCCACGCCGTTGTAGGTCGCTTTTCTTCAAGTCGACTGGCGTTGTCTAAGACTATTATACTAGGTTCTTCCAGTTTTGGTAACAAATCGTTTTGCAGCCACTTTTCAAAATTTTCGGCGTTCATTTCGTGATGATAATCCAGAGTGTTGTTTTTACTTTTAAATATAAGAGAAGCATTTTCTACAAATCCTTCTTCGTTACCAGCATTGACTATAATGTATCTACCTAAAATTGTTTTGAGGTAACTTCAGTATTAGACATAAATGCATTGATCCTGTATTAGCCTAAATTAAACTCAGTGTAGTAGATACTCTACCGCCGTCTCCAGAAGTTCTTTTGACAGAACGTAGATCCTCATCCTGCCATGATCTCCTAACGGTTCCATCTGAAAATACCCAAGTTTCATGCAAATATATGAAAGGTTTTTTTCTCTGCAGAATTAACATTCTCCATATATTTTGATAGAAATACTTTCCTCAGCGCTACAACATGTGGTTTTTCCATTAAAGCACGTCTGCTATCATCTTTTTTGTATGAAAATCCCAAATTCTATAATAGAAGTGCTAAACTAGATCTTTTATATGTGTAGATAAATTTAGCTGATAATTCTGCTCCCAAGGTATCCAAATTTACATGAATTCCTAGAACAAATTTAATGTAATTAAAATTTATTGTATCTATTTGAATTGAATCTCTGGGAATCTATAGAATAGTTAAGTTCAAATTCTAGTTGGAAGAAAATTGCATCAGAAAAGTTAAATTTGATGTAAGTCTTACTGTTTTGCACCATATCGTATAATACAAGACGAACTTCTCGTTTGATGTTTGGATCCAGTTCAGATGATGATGCTTTTTTTGGACGTTTTCGTTTTATTTTTCTTGCAGTTGCATCAGTAAAATTTGTATACTTTATTACTTGGTTCCTACTAATTCCGAGACATTTAGCTGTGATCTATAAACATTCAAATACCCATAAGAAACCATGCATACAACTGCATAATTTGTTGACCTCAGCTGGCGATCCCAAGCATAGATTTTTATTTTTGAAGAAAGCGTAAGCATTTGCAATCATCTTTTGCGCCACAGTATTGTCTATTACTGTTAAGTAATTTCGCTTCATTTGGTTTTCCTAAAAAATATACACATGAAGCCTTTTAAATAAGCTATCATACACTTACCTGGGCAATATTACTCATTATTAGATCGTTATTGTTTATGAAGTTTATATTTTTGTCTAGGTAGGTTTGTATTTACCCACAACACTAGTTCACAGATAACACAATTTTAACTTAACTTACAAATATTATAATAAACACATCACTATACGATTAATGTAACCCAATACAAAAATCTAAAGCACAACATAAATTCTAAAAACCCGAAAAAATGTAATTTTTAATTTAAACGATTGAAACCAACGCATGCGCGTCTAACCTCAATGACATTTGTCAAAAAATTCAAGGCTGGAATTCACCAAACTACAATTCGCGCGCTTAATTCTGGGGACTTTTGTGATCTATGGATATTTAAAATAGTTGAATCTATCACTGGAAATACTATACCAAATAATGTTTGTATTGATTATAGAATAATATACTTCTTTATATTTCTTATCTTACAGATTCCGAGGGAAATTTAAAGAAGCCTCTGAAGCAGGTTTTTTTATTGTGCCTGGAATCACGAGGTGGTCTACCACTATAATCCATGTTACTATGAAAAAGTTCTCAGAATTACTTCACTAATTTAACTAACAACAAAAATTCAACCAAAAACATCAAAGTACTTTTCCCAGGGAAGATGAAAACAACAGCGTTCACTTTCTGACTCTTCAAACGGTTCACACTTGGCGAAAATTGAAGGCATTGACAAAATAGGTAGTTGATATATTTATGTTGAAATTAACTTGGTAAAGTGATAGACTTTTATTAATGAATAAAATAAATATAAGCACAATTCTTTTTTATTGTTCAAAGTGGTATTTTTTTCGTAGTCTTCATACCACACTCCAAAAATTGGTTTCAGTTGATTCGATGTTTATATCAGTTCCTTTTACATTGTTTTACGGACGAGCTGTATTTGTAATTTAGGCAACCAATATTCCACTTCGTTTCAAAAATCCCGCCTAATCAAAACGGTTGGGTAAGGACACGTTGTTCCAATACTGTGTTCCAATATTTGACGAGCTGTCTTTACTGAATGATATGCTGTGGTTGAGGTAGGAATGACTTTGATTTCGTTTAAAAATTAGCAAAATACTGTAGTGGCTACCCTGTTTAGTGAAAACTTTTGGCAGAATGTAACTGCCAATTCACAATTAACGTAAATCGTAAAATTGACGTAATACGTAATAAGTACATAAACGCAATTTTTAAGCTACTGTCTACAATGATCGTAAAATAGTTTCACTAATGCCCATGCGTCTGACAACGTTATGTTCACAAAGTGACAAGTGACAGCTGAAATGACAGCTATGGCTGATGTCTAAAAATGTGAAGCTAACCACTATTATTACAAAACTTTCGTCGATTTTTCACGTGATTTGACTAACTATTTCGGCATGTTGTGGTTAAGAGGTTAGGTCTGATCACGTAGATATGTATTCTCAGTGGTACCAACGCATTGCTTCAATTTCTAGAGCACCAAAAACACCACAGGTTCTATTTACATACACACGTAAAATGTACATAATGTTGAACAACTCTCAACTTTACGTTAGATTTACGGTCATCCGTAATTTGCACGCAAACGTAATTTTTACGTCATCTATTTTAGACAGTCCGTATCATTTCATTGGCTCAACTTCACGAATTACGTATAGTTTACGAATGTTTTACGAATTACGTTCATTGTGAATGGGCACTAAGTAGAAAAACTAGAATTTTGACACTTCGGGTCAGATATATTGAATATAAGCACATATACATTTAAATCTCCTTGCTTTGGGTTAACAACATAACCACATATAACCTCAAAATGTGTCCGACCAAGACGTGTAAAGTGCAACGCACTCCTGCGAGTCCTGCGGCGACAGAATACATAATACAGAGTCATCAAAATTGATTGAGAGAGTTGGTACCCCCTGTTTTTGTCGTGAAGTTTGTCAACCTTATGACAGATTTGTTTAAGGTTATATGGCAATGAATTCAGTGGCGTGACAAAAATTCTAAACTTCAAATCTGAGAACTAATATTTTTACCAAAAAAAAAAAAAATCGAAAAAAGACACCACTGAGTTTTGAAATTTGAAACTTGAAACTTCAAATCTGACAGCTAATATTTTTATACAACTTAATAAACCAAATTATTCAAGTTCAGGTTTACCAACTCTCTCAATCAATTTTGATGACTCTGTACAATACAATATAATCATTGACTCACATTTAAAAAATATA